TTATAACCCTCAGGCATAGAATTCTCCTTTCTGTTTTGCGAAGAAAAGGAGCTGAACATTTTCTTTTGTATTGATTTCCCCTGTATTCCTTTTTAATCATTGCCTTCTTTGTATGTATTGTTTTGTACAATATGGCAACACATGTTATGTGTCAGTTTGCAACCATGTGTTATTGTAAATATGCGTGAAATTCAATGTAATTTACAAGCCCATAAAAGTTTAATTAAAGTGATTTATGTACAAGATAAAATAAAAGAAAAGTGTGTAAAGTATTAAGTACAGTGTTATGTGCATTTATATATATAAAAGTATGCACAAATGCTTTTTTGTTAAGGAAACCAAGTGGAACAACTTAAGAAATTTAAACAACAAATAACTTATAAACAATGATATTATTTATAATTTTTAGTTATACATGTTTTAGAGGATACCTCCCTTAACATCCTGACCAAGTTTCATTTGTTAATTCCACCTGGTTTTCTTAAAACACAAGGTGCGGCTGACTACTAAAGCCCACCCGTAACTTCTCCAGTAAAACATTGCAGCGAGAGCGTAAAAGCAAAAATAGAGCGTAAAATTGAGAAGAAGAGAAAACTAGCAGAAAAAGTTATTGAACACAAAACTAGTAAAAAGTTGCAAGTGAATAGTTGTTGCACCGTTTTGATATTCTGCTGTAAACATTTTACTATTTATAAATCAGTTTTAAACTCTTTGCTTTACACACAAGCACTTACACTGTCCAGTACATCATTAATATTTTGATTTCCAGTCATTTTACTTTTGTTTGTGCTAAAGAAATTCAGCAAATGGCGGCTTTTGACATTTATTCTTCTTCTTCTTCTGCTAGCTAATTTCTGCTAGTAAAAAATTCACTAGCAAGAACTTGCAGCTCTCCCGTGTTGTTACGCTCTCGATTCAGTGCTCTCTTGCAAATTTTTTGGTTTATCATACACTTTTCCAGTAAAAATTTGCAGGTTCCAATACAAATTAGTACTGACTATTGGTTACTATACAAACCTATAGTATTGCGGAGAAAACAGCTGCCATTTTGTTTGACTCGATTCGAAACGAGTAATCACTCGGTCACGAATGACGAGATACGGGCCCAGATTTTACTTGAAGTCGATCCTGTTCTCTAAAAACTAGGACACGAACGCCGCTGAACGTAAACAAGAGTAATGAAAAATATTTATTCAGATTTTTTCTTGAAAGCTGTATACTAAGTTGAATTTGTAAAAATTTTTTCAAATTTTCACGATTTGGTGTCCATGTGTCCAAACAGCTTGCAAGAAAATTGCTGCGAATAAACTAAAGATTGATCAGATGTTCAGGACGCTTGCAAATTATTACGGGTTTTGCGTTATGTACTTTGGTTAGTTTTCCTTCTCTCTGAGTTAGCCATGGGTAATAGCGCAATTTTTATGGTGCTAGCTCAATAATGCCGTAACGCAATTGCGCCGCCCAGCGACTACTTTTCCTTCTATGAGTCCGAATTCGCGGAACAAACCTCGACCTTTATGTTTGCAACTTGGGCGCACTTTTCACTTTTTTGGCGCCACTTTCGGCTGTGCAAAATGTTTTTGTTTGTATTATTTATTTCTTTGGAATTTACGCAAAAATTATTAATTTTGTACTAAAATGGATGACCTCACTAGACTAAAAAGGAAGATTACCAGTTCGTTCAAGCTAAGCGGCTTTCTTATACGTTCGGAGAATAGCGCATATTTGGCCGAGCAGCTCCTGCCATTTGATGAAGCTGAACGGGAGAAGTGGCTGACGGTGATCACAGAAAATTTGCAAGGCCAGCGTTTGCAAACGACACAAGTGGAAAGAGGAGTACTTGAAAAAGCTATAAATGAAATTAATCGCGTGGGCCTGGATGAGGGCGAGACAGTCTTTACGCTTATTGATGCATTCAAAGTGCCACGCTACCATTACAATACCCAAAGCAAGAAATTCGAATTGAATCGAGATCCGCGTTGCATTCTCACACAACCAGCGATGAAATCAGGATATTTGCGTGAACGTTATGCCATGCTGTTGCAAAAGACTCTGCGGCATGAGTTATTTGCACCACCTATAATAGAGGGTGGCGTTTCAACGGAATCGCAGGTAAAAAAGTTTAAATTGCAGTATGCAGAAAATTTGCTTGCGTCATCCTCGGTAAAGGAAGCAGTGGTACTCGGGTTGCTGACACAGTTAAAAGAAGGAAAATTTTACATAGAAGATCCTACAGGTTGCCTTGAGCTGGACTTGTGCGGAACGCGCTTTCATTCAGGTTTCTTCTGTGAGGGCTGCTTTGTGTTGGCTGAAGGTTCATATAACAATGGCGTTCTCAAAGGTAATAATTTTTAAAAATCTACGATAACTAATCTGCCAAATATAAACACTAAATTTATCGCAGTTGATGGCCTGGGTTTTCCGCCAGCTGAACCTGCTACTAGTTCACGAGCATTTTTTGGAACACAAAACAGTTGGGGTGGCGAGTCTTCAAAATTGTTGAAATATTCCATAAGGCTGGAAGAATTGGAGAGTACCAACACTGAAGCTACGCTTGTGTTTCTGTCGGATGTGCGTCTAGATAATCCTGTTGTTTTAGAACGCTTACGCATGCTATTTGTTGGCTACGATTCCTGTCCACCTGTAGCAATAGTGCTAATGGGTTCGTTCGCTGCTACCAATAGTAATTATCATACATTGTCTCAAAATTTGACTGCTCTGGGCGCATTAGCTGCGGGATGTGATCAGTTGAAGAAGCAAACGGATCTGATATTAGTACCGTCTTGTGAAGATCCTACAGCACCGAATATTTTACCACGTGCCACCCTACCTGAATCACTTGCGACGGGTTTGCGCAAAGCATGGCCGCGTACATTGCTCGCGACCAACCCTTGTCGTCTGCAATATTGTACACAACAGATTGTTGTTTGTCGTTTGGACTTGATGGCTAAGTTCTGTCGTAATTCGTTACATTTTCCACCCGATACTGATAATATCGAACAGCATTTTGCACGCACACTAGTATGCCAGAACCATGTGACTCCCATACATCCGATTGCCATGCCAGTGCATTGGGACTATGATGCCGCTTTGTGGTTATATCCGTTGCCCGATTTGGTAGTTATAGGTGACTCGTGCCAGAGTTTCGCAACAACTCAACACGGTTGTACTGTGCTAAACACAGGATCTTTTGTTAAATCGAAATTTGCATTTAAAGTTTATATACCGGCGACGCGCACTATTGAGGATTCGGAAATTCCAGATGATATGACAATGGAATAAGCAAATTCTTATTTTATGTTGTGATAAGCAAAATTGTACTCTTTATGTTACGTAAGTATGTAGGTTTTTATTTAATATGTTTAAATGTTTAAATACATTTGTGCAAGCATATTTTGTTTACACTTACAATATGATATATATATGTACATTCATATAGAGATATATTTGTGCATGTATATATGCGTACATTATGCTACTCTTGTAACTGAAGCGCCGAATCAAAGCAGTGCTCATATGTTTTCTGCTTGAAATTGCTAAATTTATTGTCATCCCTTCAGTGTTTCACTCTTGCTGCCGTGGCAGAGGCGTGTGCTGGTTGTGATAAGAATAGGAAGCTGTTCTAAAACCATCAACGAGCATTAGCTGAGGCATCATCACCATCATAATAAGTATTCTTATAGTCAGCAACAGTAGCAGAATCTCACGGCGCGCAATGTGAGCACACTATCAGACTGCCTGAAATCGGTAACAACGTCACAGCATGTGTTCCATAGCACACAAACAGTATGTGAAAAAGTTGTAAAAAATCAACTTAATGCGACTTGTACGCAGCTCACAATCTGTTACGGTTCCAAGGAAGCAAAATGAATTTTCAGCGTGCATAGTTGTTAGTACGATACATGTTTGAAATCAGCTTGGCGCTGTGCGGTAGAATTCTTAACCCAAGAAACTAAAAATAGAAAATTGCTTAATAATTTATTTACGTATCATTCTAAACGCATGCGCAAGGTATCGTAAATGAAAAAGCATTTTTGTACATTCGATAGTTTGACATGGTAGCGACGATATGTCAATAGAGTTACTATTCTTACGGGTGCACATACATAATTTTGAAATCGATCTTAGTCACTTCATGTCTTTTGTGTTTAAACGATCATTTACCTGTATCTGTATTAGTTCAACTTCATCAACCAAAGATAAACGGGTTTGTCATTAGTTTATGAGAATAGGACAATTTACAGATGCATTTGGTTACTTGCAACCGGTAATTTAAACTCTAGAGGTATGAAGTAACTTAGACCACTTTAAAAATTATGGGCTCATACATTCATTAACAACGATTCATGCACCACACCTACCTTATAAAGCCCCAGTGTTTGAAACCGACCGTCTAACGGTGGGCATCGCCGAGATGCCAAAAATTTCAGGGGCTTACTTATGCTCATAGCTTACTTATGTTAATGTTACACAAATTAGAAGTCTATCTTTGTCGCCCTATCATTATTAAACATTTGGTTTGTTGGTATACTTTATAAGAAGTTTCCAACTTAAGGGACCGTTTCATTTTTATACATACATATCACACACCGTCTTCAAAAGAGTGACAACTCAAAATAATACGTTTGCGAAAAACTATTTCTTAGGAAATGATAATCATATGGGCAAGGACGACTTTACCTTAGGTTTTTTCTAACAAATTATAAGAAAAATTTGTTCCATCTTTTGCTGAAAGGTAAATAAAAGCGCTGTGTACATTTTTAGCGCATAATCTCAAAAATGCCAAATTTTGAGTTGTGACTCTTTTGGAGACAGTGTGCGATATGTATGCTTGAATGTATGCATACATATACATATATGTACATATACGTACTATGTATGTATGTATACGCAGTTCAAGGGAACCTATTATTTTTTATGACCTAAAGCCGATTTAGAAAAATATTGTTTCGTCAGTTGCACATGGAATATGGCAAACGCTTTTGAATTCTTGGTCGTTGGGGTGTTTGAACTACATATCGCCGTTTAAAGTACAAAATCGCGTATCAACAAAATGCAAAACCGGGTATCAAGTTAATGCAAAACCGCGTATGTGAGGTTGCATAAATTATTTTCTAGAGAGTAAAAACACTCATATTTCAAAATGGTTCTCTTTTTTATAAAGAAATGGCTAGTATATTTCAGGATGAATGGATAAGGATTGAGCCAAGAGCTGTGTGAGCAAATTAGAGATGGGCACGGGACTAAATATTCAATCCCGATTCCGCCCATCCCAAAACTCGATTTTGAAGTCCCGAACACGCCCATCCCGACGTTTTTCAGAATTGTCCCGCGGGTTCCATAGGTCCCGAAGTCTATAATTAAGATTAATTCACATGTCTCAAATTAATTTTAAATAACAAAAAAAAACAATGAAAGATCTGGCATCTTTTGATATTTTTTTGCTTTGCTGTTCGTTTTCGTCTCAATAAAACATAAAAAAGTGCTAATTTCATAAAACTTTTTTAAGGAAACTTATGAATTTTCGGAGGTTGCCAGTTTTATCGGGAGTGTCGGGAAAGGATTCTGGTCCCATCCCGCCCGCAAAATGTTTAAAGACTTCCCGATACCGCCCATCCCGGCCATTTTGAAATCAGTCCTGTGGGTCCTGCTGGTCCCGCGGACCCCGCGGGTCCCAATACCCCGTCCCATCTCTAGAGCAAATCCAATTTTTGGCAGCAAATGTCAGTTACGCGGTTTTGTAGTCTGATTTTGAAGAAAAGTGGTGAAATATTAGAAGAAAATACTTTGGACGATTGCTTTTATGTATTAAATATACACAAAACTATACTGAAAGCCAATTTTATTATATGAGGCACTCGTTTGGTGGAACCAAGCAGTCGGGCTTTCGAACCACTCCGTCGGCGTTAATGCTTAATATAAACGTTGAGCCCATAGATATGTATAGCAGGCGGAGCTGTCAGTAAGGCTAAGTGGGTTGGACTTTTAAGTTCGCCTCGAGCTACATATGGGCACTCCAGTATTCTAAAAAGCTTCGAGTTCGTACCGACGCTAACATATCACTGCACGCCGATTTTGGGTTCGAAGGGGTTTTTAACCATCCCTATTTAAGCGAGAGAGGACTGGGAAGGGCCAAGTATCGGGAATTGGGGTCCTAAATGTATTTACGGAAGGATCGAAGCTAAATGGGAGGGTAGGTGGAGGTGTCTTCTGCGAAGAACTCCACTAAATTGAAGTTTAGGCTAAAAATTAGGCTATAGCGTTTTCCAAGCAGGGGTAGTCGCAATACAGGAGGCTTCGGATACATTATATAATAATACATTTTTGAAAGAGCTGAATATCTATTCGAAGGCAAAGCTAGCCGTCCGTTCGAGAACCTCCTTATCGAACACATCGGATTAAGCTCATTTGGGTTCAGGGTCACAGCGAAATCACTGAAAACTGCATGGCTGAGGAGCTGACAAGGCACGGAACCCAAGGGAAATACTCCCGGGTAAAGAAAATCTGAGTGGGTTACTCCTGGACCGATGGGAGTTTGGTCAGCTCAGCGTCCGCTTGGCGAACACCTTAGAATGCAAGATGACTAAATCCTGCTGGCCCCGTGTAGACCGGATGAGGTCCAGAAAGCTTTTGAGACTAAGCAATTTTCACATCTCGCTATTGATACGAGTTTTAACTAGTCGTTGCGTGATAGGTAAGCATGCGATAAGGCTGAATGGAGGACGATGACGTGCAACTATCTCACGCTTGCTGCTTTTGTGGCCTGCCCTGGTGTAATTATCACAACACCTGCTGCTCCGCTTTTGGGAGACTAAGGCTTAAGCACCTAGGGTCGCACTTTTTCCACACTCCCGATGAGCTTTCGGAAATGGGCATCAGTCACTTGAGGAGCTTCGTGGTGGGCCAAAAAAAAAATCGCCGTTAACAATTATTTTTTGACTTTTATTTAAATACTCCTTTAAATAACAGATTTTTTTATTTTTATTGTATAAATAAGATCCTTCAATACTGTTATCTAAGACATATAATAAAAAAATAACGTTATTTATTGATTATTTAGATAAAAATCAAAAATAATTTTTATTTTGATTTATAAAACAAAAATCGAAAATAATGGCTATTTTTTAATTTTGCATAAAAATTACAAATAAAAGTTGATTTTCAAATTTTATTTTCGGTGAGAAAATAAATCGATTGGTATGTATCACTTAGTTGTAAGACATTTCCTTCATAGCGAATTTTTCAATGACAGTTTTCATCAATAATTGTTATGTTCGTTCCCTGGCTTTTCTTATTGCTCTGCTCGCTGTAGTCCATTACCTTGAGAAATGCAAATACCTCGACTTGAAATAATGACGCATGTTCCTCAAGAGATTGTCGCCATTGCTCTCGGTATATTCTAACTACTTAATACAGAAGTATTTAGGTATTTTTGTTGTAGTAAGTAATCCAGAACTATGGTTGGTAGACAAAGTCCTTCACTATTTCAAAATTGGAACTCCCAAATGAGACTTGTGTCCCATTATGCGAGGACTCTTTGTGCACAGACTTCGTTTGTCTCTTTCTTTAAGCTCAAATTTGCTACGATTACGACCCTTCTGTTCCTTCGTTTGATCTCGAATGGCGCGGTTAGGACTTCTCAATTTGGAGCAAGCTATAAGTTTTGCTCAATGTTATTCTACATAGGCTTATTAGTTTTTGCGGGGATTCCGAATTTAGACAGGCACCTTCCTTTCGTGCTGCCAAAAGCGGTTTCGAAGTCAAATGAAATTGGCCTTACTGCACAATTACCCTTATGAATTGGTCATAGTCCAATCTCGAAACTTACTTCTGCTGCGTATGGCAGAGGTGGCTTCATCTGAGCTCCACTCCAGTGAATCGAACAGAATGCAGAAGCACACTTACAATTCAGCTGCAATGGACAACAGATCAAGATCGAGCAGATTACCGTCTTCATGGATCGGCATGAACAGCTGGGTTCCAAGAAAAGAAGCTGCACAGTACTTCTACCTGGTTGAATCCCGCCGTCTACTATGTACATATGTATGTACTCCGTAAGGATAGTGTGGGAGACAATGGCGCAAGTCTAGCGTTAAGTCTCTTGCTCTCAAAAGTCTGAGTAAGGTATCGGATATGGACCCTAGGCCCTGCTGCAGCATGCATGGGTAAATATCATCTGGACCAGAGTATTTGTATGCCCTTAACATTGAAGTAGTCCACCGCAACCTTTCTGTTGACAATTCTGTCCGCTAGGCCTCTTGTCCTTTTGTTCATACGCACTGCGCTGACGGTGTTTGCGTTAGCACTTTGGCCTTGTGTAATGCAGCCCGGGAAGTGAGTATCCAATAGAAGCCTGCTAGTTTCCTCAGTTATAACAGTGTAGGTTCCATCGGGGTTTTTCCAAGTGTGTAGCCCG